CACCCACAGTTGGGGAGTGCAGCCCTGGGACATGACACAGGACAGGAAGCAGAGGCATGTTTGACTGGGCAAGTTTGGTGAGGCAGCATGTCGCTGAAGAGAGGAAGGAGCATGGGGGCTGTGGGGTCAGACCTGGGTCCGAGTCTCAGCTCTGCCACTTTGCTGTGTGACCATGGGCTTACTTTATTTAACCTCGGTAAATCTCAGTTGCCTCCACTGTGAAGTGAAGCTGCTATCAATAGCACCTGTCTCTTAGGGTTGTTGGAAGACTTGACTGAGACAATTTAAAGTGCTTAAAATTTAATAAACTTTGCCATTACTTGTATTAAAAACCAAGTCCTTCTTGCATATGGCTGGGTCACCTGCCCTGAGGGGACAGAATCTGAGAGAACCAAACAGGTGGGCTGAGGGGGAATTCTGCCAGCCTCCTCTCCTTACCTCCCATGCCAACCTCATGGATTTTGTGAAGTTGCTCCCACAATCATAGACCTTTATAATATGCAGGTAGAACCTAGTCTACAAAAGCTCTCCCTCCAACCATCGGCAACTTCCCCTAGAATAGTGCTTAACTATGGGCAACAAAGGGACAGTACCAAGATCAGTCCTTAAAAAAAATTATGTTCCCATGTCCTGAAAGAGGGCTTGGGTGCCTCTCCTTTCCCCAGATGCTTTTGCCAATGCATTCTTCTTTATGACCCAAGGCAGTGAGCTTGCTGTGCCTGGGTCTTCACTTCTCAGTCTACAAATTTTGGGCCCTAAATACAGAAACGTATGTTGCACATAATTGAATTGGGGTCAAGTGTTCAGAACTCATCTTCAGAGAATTGCAGGAAGGGCACAAATGTGTGTGTGTGTGTGTGTGTGTGTGTGTGTGTCTTGTGTGTGTGTGTGTGTATGTGTGTAAACAAAGCAAAAGCAAATATTCTTTGCAGAATTGATTTTGGTACAATTTGTAATTCTAAGCTGAAAAGCATATGAAATAGAAAAAACACATGTGTCAGATTTAACCAGCAAGTATCCATTTTCTTTGAAGGGCTACAGACCTAGCATAATCCCTGCTAAGTGAACAGATCAGGTCTTGGAGCTTTAACTGCTTCAAACAAAGCAGGCAGCAGGCAACCACACCCTCCACCTCCACCGTAGATCTTTTCATATTACATACAGACTACTAAACGATGCGGGAGGGGGAAGGTTTGTATACAGACCCACCTCCTAAATAAAAGTGCAATTAATATTTTATAATGTCTTTTTCACTTTATCTCTATACAAATACATTTCAATCTAACCCAAATAGAATTACTTTGCACATACTATCTTGAGAAAATGAATATTTATTGAGCACCTGTTATGTCACCTCCCTGAACCCCAGTTTCTTGCTCTGTATCTCACATGGTATTTGTAAACCAGTAATAGAAATGTAAGCTAGCAGATGGTAAATATTCAATACATGTTAACAATTATCATTATCATAAACAAGAATCACAATTATTTCTACCTTGCTTAATCATCTCAGAAACTGTGCCAAATTACAACAGACTGAGGCTCAGAGAATTGTCATGTGTGATCTACATAACTTTTAAGGGGTGAATTCAGGACGTGGAAAGATGAACAAAAAGAGAAAGCCCATTTTCCATAGATGTTACCTTGAGAATCTTCCAGTCCTTCAACTCCAGTTACTGAGAAAGTCCAGGATAAGATAGTTTGCTATGGAATTGTCTCAGTGCATCAGCTAAAATGATTTGTAGCCAATTGGTTTTATCCTTAAGATGAAATGCTTCAAACCTCCCCTTTGGAGAAGGAGCTGCAAGAAAACCATATTCAAGATGGTTTTCCAAGATCCTGGGCTCCCCCAGCTTGCCTGGCCCTCTTGATTTCCAATCCCAATCAATTCCTTTTTAATAATCATAGTTCAGGCACAAATAAGAAGTCATCCAGGGTACTGCTAAATCTTGTAAAGGTTTTGGGATTAGCCATTGCATCCCTGTGCCTCCTTAAGCTCTCATGAGAACACGTAACTGAGAACTTAACGCTCAGCTGTCGTCTTTTATCTGCACTTTATTGTCTTTATTCATTCGGTTCCTCAGGCCTCCAAGCTAGTGTAGTTTGGGCAGGATTCATCTCTCAGGTGGTCACCTTTTCTGCCCTGCCTCACGTGAGGCACACACAGGCACGTGCATATGTGTACACGCACACACACAGTACACACACACTCACGCATACACGTACATTCATTGAACTTTCATGAGTCATAAGTTTGGGCATCCCAAAATCTGGCACCCTATGCGGGGCTGGCCCAGATCACACCAGAGCAAAGGTTGGCTTGGCACATGGTTTGGTTGTCTAAGAGAATGTGGATTCAGGTGGAATAAGTTAAGAGAGAACCAACTTACAGCTCTTTGTTAATGTGTTGCACCTGCATCCAAGTGGCCAGCTCATCTCCAGTCCCTAGAGAGGGAACTAATGACCAAGCCAGAGCACGACGAGCTCTGTTTGGGGACAGAGCCAGCAAGACACTCGAGCTACATGGCTAGGGTGGTGTGAGGAACTTCTCCCCGAAAAGCCCCATTGCTAAAATAGCTTGTCTAGTGATAGTGACAAATGCCTGGAATTCTACCATTAGAAATTCTTCGCCATGGATTAAAGTTTTGGAGCTGCAGAAGACCTTCTGTTAAAATGCATGTACCTCTGGGGAAATGAATGAAGTCATGTTAATCAGTAATGCATTAATGTAAACTATTATATTAGATTCCTCTTGTTATTTAACATGGCCCTTAGAGATTCAGGACACAAGTTTGGATAAGAGGCTTAATCAGAGGAAGGTGGAATGCCAAGCAAGGCAGTATGAGAGCACTGGGCCCTGGGAAGGAAGGGGCAGAGGACATGTCTGATTTTATATGTTGATTACCACTGGCCGGTGGGGTGACTGGGCTGCAGCTACTGCTGGGTGACCTTAGGCAGATCTCGGGCCTGTCTCAGTGACTTACCACACCCTGAAATTAATCAAGGTGACCTACATCTCCAGGCAGCTGGTGCAGGATTAATTAATGACTTCAAGGGAGCCTGAAAACACCAGGTCCATCGACACGCAAGGCATGATTATTAAGTCATCAGGAGGACTGGTTAATTATCTTTTCTAAAGTTGCTTGAGTATGTCATAGATGGCTCTTATTATTTTGAGGTATGTTCCTTCAATGCTTAGTCTGCTGGGTGTTTTTATCATGGAGGGATGTTGGATTTTCTCAAAAGCTTTTTCTGCCTCTATTGGGATGACAAATGCTTTCTGCTTTTGATTCTGTTTATGTGGTGAATCACATTTATTGATTTGTGTATGGTTGAACCAGTCTTGTATCCCAGGAATAAAGCCTACTTGATTGTGGTATATTAATTTTGATGTGCCACAGATTCAATTTTCTAGTATTTTGTTGAGGATTTTTGCATCTATGTTCATCAGGGATATTGATCTGAAGTTTTCTTTTTTTGTTGTGTCTCTGGCAGCTTTTGGTATCAAGCTGATGCTGGTCTCACAGAAAAAGTTAAGGAGGAACCCCTCCTCGATTTTTGGAATAGTTTCAGTAGGATTAGTACCAGTTCTTTGTATGTCTGGTAGAATTTGGCTATGAATCCATCTGATCTAGAGCTTTGTTTTGGTTGGTAGGTTCTTTATTACTGGTTCAATTTCGGAACTTGTCTTTGGCCTTTTCAAGGTTTCAATCTCTTCCTGATTCAATCTTGGAAGATTGTGTGCTTCCAGAATGTATCCATTTCTTCTAGATACTCTAATTTGTGTGCACAGGTTGTTCCTAATAGCTTCTGAGGATCTTTTTCATTTCTGTGGGATCAATTGTAATATCACCTTTGTTGTTTCTGATTGTGCTTACTTGGATCTCTTCTCTTTCTTTTTCTTTGATAGCTAGGAGCCATCTATGATAAACTCACAGCCAACATCATACTGAATGGCAAAAGCTTGAATCATTCCCCTTGAGAACTGGAACAAGACAAGGACACCCACTCTTACCACTCCTATTCAACATAGTACTAGAAGTCCTAGCTAGAGCAATCACACAAGAGAAAGAAACAAAAGGCATCCAAATAGGAAACCAAGAAGCCAAACAATCTCCATTTACTGACAATTATGAGTCTATGTCTAGAAAATCCTAAAGACTCTGCCAAAAGATTCCTAGAATTGATAAACCACTTTAATACAGTTTCAAGATACAAAATCAGTGTACAAAAATCAGTAGCATTTCTATACACCAACAGCATCCAGGGTGCCCATGAAATAAAAAACACAATGCCACTCACAATAGCCACAAAGAAAATGAAATATCTGGGAATACAGCTAACCAAGTAGGTGAAACATCTGTACAAAAAGAACTACAAAACACTGTTGAAAGAAGTCAGAAATGATGCAAATGAATGGAAAAACATTCCATGCTCATGGATAGAAAGAATTAATATCGTTTAAAATGTCCATACTGCACGAAGCAATTTAAAACTATTCCTATCAAACTACCAATCTCATTTTTCATAGGATTCAAAAAACTATTCTAAAATTAATATGGGACCAAAAACGCCTCAAGTAGCCAAAGCAATGCTAAGCAAAATGAACAAAGTCTCACAGTACCTGACTTCAAACTATGTTATAAAGCCACAGTAACCAAAACGGCTTTGTACTGGTACAAAAACACATAGATCAATGGAACAGAATAGAAAACTCAGAAATAAAGTTGTGCATCTGCAACTATCTGATCTTTGACAAGGTCAACAAAAGCAATGGGGAATGGATTCACAATTCAATAAATGGTCCTGGGATAACTGACTAGCCATATACAGAAGATTAAAGTTGGACTCCCACCTTTCACCATATACAAAAACTAATTCAAAATTGATGAAAACTTTTAACATAAGACCTTAAGCTATGAAAATCCTGGAAGACAACCTACTAAATACTCTTCTCAACATCAACCTTGGCAAATAAATTTTGGCTAAGTCGCCAAAAGCAATTGTAACAAAAAGAAAATTAGACAAATGGGGCCTAATTAAAGTAAAGAGCTTCTGTACAGCAAAAGAAGCTATCAACAGAGCAAACAGATAATCCCCACAGAACAAGAGAAGGTATTCACAAACTGCATCCAATAAAGGCCTAATATCCACAATCTGTAAGGAACTTAAGCAAATCAGCAAGCATAAACCAAATAACCTCATTAAAAAATGGGCAAAGGACATGAAGAGACACCTCTCAAAAGAAGACACACGAGTACCAAAAAAAAAAAAAAAAAGAAAAAATTTTCATTATCACTAATGATAGGAGAAATGCAATTGAAAACCACAATGAGATACTACCTCACACCAGTCAGAATGGTGATTATTAAAAAGTCAAAAAATAACAGATGCCGGTGAGGCTGCAAAGAAAGGAAAACACTTATACGTTTGGTGGGAAAGTAAATTAGTTCAGCCACTGAAAAAAGTAGTCTGGAAATTTCTCAAATAACTTAAAACTGAGCTACCAGTCAACCCAGCAATACCATTATTGGATATATATCAAAAAGAAAGTAAATCATTCTCCCAAAGACACACGCATGCATATGTTCATCTCTGCACTATTCACAATAGCAAAGACGTGGAATTAACCCAAGTGCCCACCAATATTTGACTGGATAAAGAAAATGTGGCGTACATAAACCATGGCATACTATGCAGCTATAAAAAATGAAATCATGCTCTTTGCAACAACATGGATGGAGCTTGAGGCCATAATCTCAAGCAAATTGATGCAGAAACAGAAAACCAAATACCATATATTCTCACTTATATGTGGGAGCTACACGTTGATCACACATGGACATAAATATGGAAACAATAGGCACTGTGATTATGACAGAGTAGAGGGAGAGTAAAAAAAATAAAAATAAAAAGACTATCAGGTGCTGTGCTCACTACCTGGATGACAGGATCTGCACTCTAAACTTCAACATCATGCAATATTCCCATTTAGCACATCTGCATATACACCCTTTGTATCTAAAATAAAAGTTGAAAAAATAAAAATATATAGCTACGGATGGAAAGGGATAATTAGATGGGAAAACATGGAGAGTGGTGAAAAAGAATAGGGAAAGTAGAAGGCACACAGGTCTACCCCTCACCACTTGCTTTCAGCCTTGTTGGGAAGCTGGATTTTTCTGCATCCAGAGTAATCAACCTACGGGGTGCTAGTGTCATGTACTGGAATGTACAAGGAGCAGCAGTCTATAAAATGGTTTTCTTCTAGGCTGCTAGCTGGCACTACCTGCCAATTTGACCACCTAAGAAATGGGAACACCGAACACTACAAAGAAGAACTGGTCTGTGATGACTCCACACCTACCATATTTTCTTGGGTGGTCCAGGTGATAGGTGTGACCAAATGTTCTAGAGACTAGATAGGGAGGAGAATCACAAAGGGGTGGCTAAGCTCAGCCACTAGATAGGTGTGTGATCTTGTGTGCAATAGTTTCTTAACCTCCTAAACCTCAGTTTCTTCATCTACAAAACTGGGCGTCACAAACCCTGTCTCAGGTTTTTCCTCCCAGCATTGATGTAAACATGGACTGAGACAGCAGAGTTCTTTGTGCAGCATAAAATGCTATTTGAATATTATTTCCATTGTTCCAGATGCCTCTGGTGTGTCATTTAGGGAAGCCTTGCTTGACCCAATGGGTCTTACCCAACAGTCTGCTGCAAACCTATGATTTTGAGCATTTGGTAGCATTTTCATTAAATAATTTTCCCTCTGAGAGGTTCATCTTTAAGATCCCTACATAATAACCAACATAATAACAAGATAAAGATGACCAACTTTCATCTTTAAAGTGCCTACATAAGAGCCAACATAACACGATAGACAAGTATGAACTGGTTCATCAGATCAGCCAGTTGTCTAGAAAGTTGCTGAGGATATAGTATTTGGGATGTGTAAATTCCGATGCATAGGATGGAGACCTCAAGGAAACAGGAGCCTCCAGAACTAGCAATAGAATGCAAAAACGTCCAGAGAGAGGAATCCTGTAAAGAGAAGGGTGAAAAATAGAAAGAAATATATTGTTGCTGTTGATTTTAAGGCTTTTGTACGATTCCGTCTAGAGTGGAGTTTTTGTGCATATTTTCTCTCCTAATTCTCATAGCAGCCTGATACACTATTGTTTCCTTTTTACATAGACTAAATTGACATCTGGAGAACTTAAATGACTTACTCAACGGCACATGGCCCTTAGATCTATTGTGTAGTGAAGGCCAGACTCAAATGCAGATCCCGAGTCTCTAAATCCTGTGCCCTCTCCACCACACCCTTATACCCACACTTCTCATTTTACTTGAATGGAAGAGTCTTTTCTGATTTGAATTTGCCCGGCCCCAAAGACTTTATCTTTCCTTCTTTTGGAGGGTAACTGAAATGTTGGAGATGCTCAGTAGGTACCTGGCACCTTTCTTCTTCCTTCTTTTCTTAGTGGGTCACTCCAGTATGTTCAATAGAGCAGTAATAATAGCTAGCATTCACAGAGCATTACCACATGCCAGGTGTTTTGCATATCCTATACCTAATTCTCACAGCAATCTCATATCTTCAGTCTTATATCTTCAGTCTACAGAGGCAAACACTAAGGCTTAGAAAATGTAAACAGCTTGCCCAAGGTCATGCAGCTGGTAAACAATTGAGCCAGGATTCAAACCCAGTTCTGCCTATCTTTAAAGCTCATGTTAGGAGGCATTGTCATCAAGACACAAAAGCTACCAAGTGGTGTCTTTTTCTCTTTTTTATATAGCTATTTTCAAATTCCCCTTTACATGAATGTTAAACTGTTATAAGCCACCTTTACTCATAAATGATTTTATTCATGTTTTCTTGGGGCCTATGAGCAAGAGCTTCTCTACATTATATACCTAGAAGTAGAATTTCTGTTTCCTATAGGGAGGAGCATTTTCAACTTTACTACGTGAAGTGGTACTGATTTACACTATTACTTGTGCGTAGGAGAGTTTGTATTACTCTTCTTGCCAGCCAACACTTGCATTGCAAAAGTTTTATATTTTTTCCAACTTAGTAGTGTGAAATGGTGTCTCATTGTGGTTTCAATGTGCATTCTCCTGACAACTGATAAGGTTAAGTCCCTTTCTGGAAGTTATTAGCTGTTTGTGTTACCTCTTTAATGAAATGCCTATTCCTAGCTCTGACTGCTTTTCTATCGTTGTTGTTTTTTTTTTTCTTGATTTGTAGAAGTTCTTTATAGATTAGAAACTCTGGATACTAATTCTTTGTAGGTTATACATATAGCATTTGTCCTGCTTTGTGGCTTTTCCTTCACTCTGTGATGCCCTTTGGCAAACATATTTTATTTCAATATATTGAATTAATCAATTTTAAAAGGTTTTGTTTACACTGGATTCACCTGGGTAATCCAGGATAATCTTCTCTTCTCTTGATATTCTTAATCACTTCTGCAAAGTTCCTTTTGCCGTGTAAGGTAACAAATTCACAGGTTCTGGGGAACAGAATGTGGATATTGCAGGGAGGATTATTCTGGCAACCACAGGTTGCCCTTGACTAAGGACTTCGGAAAGAGGAAGCCTTTTCTTCTTAGTCAAACCGCCCAGAATGATATTGACATCACACTGAGTTGGGGACAGGGAGGAAGCAAGTTACGGCTCTGGTACTATAGACTTTCACTGTTTTTATTGAGATTTAGTAAACTCTCTTAAATAAATGTTTCTTTATTTGCTGTATACTTCCAGACAATTTCAGAGACTTTAAATGGATGGCTTTTAAAATAATTTTCTCCAGTTGTGGTAGTTTCACCTGAGGGAAGTTCTTCAAATCTCCTCATGTTGCATTTTCAGAAGTAGAATCTCTCAACCATGTTCCTGAACTTAGTTTTGCTGGATATGTAAATGCAGGTTGATATTTATTTCCTGTTAGTATGCAAAGTACTCTGTCTTTCATTACTTCTTTTCAGAAGATTAATTCCAGTCTAATTACTTACACATTACCCATCTCTACTGATTATCCTCCTCGTTGTTTTTAAGACTTTCTCTTCTTTCTAGGTGCTGTGCATTTTACTGCAATGATTTTAGCTTTTGATTTTCTTTACATTTACTCTGTTTGCAATTTGTTAAACTTTCTGAGTATGTGTCTTCTCAATATTGCTTCCTCCTAATCTTGTGAAATCTGATGGGTTTATCAGGAGTTTCCACTCTTGCTTCTTCCTGGTTTTTTTCTTGCTGTCACCATGTAAGAAGTGCCTTTTACCTCCGCCATGATTCTGAGGCCTCCCCAGCCATGCGGAACTATAAGTCCAATTAAGTCTCTTTTTCTTCCCAGTCTAGGGTAGGTCTTTATCAGCAGTGTGAGAACAGACTAATACGGCATCTAAGAGATTCCATTCTTGTCTTGCAATAGCAGCTATGATACTTAGAAGAGTTTTACTTTATATTTTAAGGGTTTTTTTCTTTTTCTTTCTTTCTTTTATCTCTTTTTTTTTTCTTTTTTCTTCTTTCTTTTCTTTCCAAAGGATTTTTTTTTACACTATCCAGTCTTCTATATTGCTGAAAATATAAATTCCCCATAATGTCCTTTCCCCTGTTTTCCTTCTTGTAAAACCCCCACTTATCTTTAAATTCCTTGATGAGATGTTGTCTCTTCTAGGGGACATTCACTGCCCTGCTCTCTCCTGAAACAGAATAAATTAGTCTACTTCCTGTGTTCTCATATACTTGGAAAGTGGCTTTAATAATGATCTCTCACATTTTTTATTACAGTTATTTATTTATCTGTTACCTCCTACTGTTCTGCAAGATGCTGGCAGAGTGTTTTAATTATCATTTTATGTTCAGTGTTTAACACAGTGCCTGGAAGAAAATAAACACATAAGTGGCTATTTATTTAAGTTTGTAAAGGAAATGAATAAAACATCATTGTTTGCAAATGAGATCCAAATTCATTTGAAAGTCATTCAGGTACCTCCACATTCTAACTGCAAC